TAATATATAATTTTATTTACCTTTGGACTTCGGAATCGCAATAAATTATTTTTTGTAGAAGGAAAACTATTAAAATGTGCACGTTCTTCACTTCGACATCGTCATCGACTCAACATTAACATTAGTAGGCCTATTAGTGTCATGAGTGAGGTAGGCCTACCGGGCCCATTTATTTATAATCATCATAATCATAATTATAATCATAGTCATAATCATAAGTCATAAGGCATGTCCGCCCATGATAAAGCCATACTTATTAAGACTAAATATGTAGATTATGTGAATGTATAATAGTAATAATAATAAATAATAATAATACTGAATAGCATAATAGCATAGTCATAGTTATAGGTATAGTATTCTCTAGCATTTTAATAGACTAGACCTTTTATTATTATTATGGTTTGTTTGTATTATATTTATATTGTAAATTTATGATGTGAAAAATTGAAAATCTGGTCTTATGGCTTATGGATGGTGTCGTTGTTACAGATACTTAGTTAAAAATAACACTGACACCGGTGTTATAGTTAGTTTAACTTTACTCTTTAGTCTACCGGCTACATCATTAACTTGAGTCTTGAAGCCTGCCCACTACTAGCTACCATATATTATGCCTACGGCCTACAGAGCTACTGCGACACAACCTATAATAAGACTAAGGACCATAATTATTACTACCCTATTACTAATTACTATTACTATTTCAAGTAGGCCTATTGGCCTACCAAGATTGATGGTAAGTGGACAGTTCAGTGGATACAGTGTAGAGTAGGCCTAACACGAGTGAACACTACATTAAAAATGCAACATTCATTGTTTACATGTTTACAGTGAGTTTGAGTTAGCTACAGTGGTCTACAGTGAAGCCACAAATTTTCCTGCTATCGTACACCTAACTGTCCTAAGTTATTGGCCTAGGACATTGCAGCTTGGCCTTGGCCAGAAATCGGTATTGACTCCGAAAAACATGGTTATCAAATCATGGTTCTTTCTTGAAAAGAAATTTGGCTCTGATTTGAACAACATTTTAATCGTCCTGCTGCTGATTTTCTTGGCTCTTTGACTAATGAGTTTGCTGAACACTGGCTTAGGTCTATTGCCAATTTAAAATTTTAATAATTTGAGTATTAGATTTTCATCAAATTATATAGCAACAGTGACCCCTAAATATTTATCCAACTTACAGTAATATAAACTATTATGGCTGTGCCGAGGAAAAGTGGCGCCCGGACGAAGCCTGAAAATGCTGCCCCTCATTAAATGTAGAAAAATGTAACATGTGCCCCTGAGGCGGACCAGTAAAAAGAAGAATTAATGCCCCTTTTCTTTGTGCCGTGTACAGGAATTTATTGTTTAATTCTCTTGTAAGAGTCTATAATATAAAATATAAAGACAATTTTGGTAACCCTGATGTTGGTGCCTGGGGCGAGTGCCCCCTCCTCCTCCCCCAACCCCCAGTCTTAGCCCGGTCTATAAATTTTATTACTCAAAGATAAAGAAGATAGTTTACAAAAAGTGTTGTCAAGAGGAGTGAAACATTATTTAAAATATTTTTTTTAAGATGCTCATAAAGTTTACAAATATGTAAATGTCAATGTGCAAATTAGGTTTCAAGTCTGTCCACAATTTAAAATTGTTAAATCCAACCTTGAAATTCAAGGTTGGATAAAAAAAAATTAAATTGTGGATGGAGATGTAAAAACCTCTAGATACACCAATGGATCACTTTTGTTGAAATCGAATGGTTGTTTTAAGTCTTAATCATGCTTAATATTATGTTAAATAGGTAAAAATTATAAAAAAATGTTTTACTTCCAAGTTTTTTTGTGCTTAGAGCAAAGGACTAAATACTTATTAAATAAATTAATTTGTCTAAAATTAACCCAATTGTCTCACGATCTCTTTTTGCATCTAACTGCTCTCAAGTGCAGGGAGCTATATAGTTTTTTTGGAACCGAAGTTTTGATTGAATAGCATTGTGAACATTGTGTGCTACACATCCTATGTCAAGGACTTTATGGCTGAGTGTTTCATTTAGTTTTCAATATATATTGTTTTTTCCCCTTCTCTCTGCACCATCAAAATTTGCACAATTTTCTGTAACAGCTGATGTGATTACAGTGTTTCCATAATATATGGGTGAAGTAGAGCAGATATTTCTCCAGGTAAATTTTTAAATTCAAGGATTTTTACTTCAATTCCTGCTGATGACAAAATATATTGAACAAGTATAGGAAACAACTTGACAACTTTATGATTGGATGCATCAATGAAAACAGACACAACGTTTGCATTTTCCAGCTCATATTTACAGCGCTTCATTGCAAGAAATCAACAAGCGTGTCGACAGGAAGCCTTCATCAGCGAACAAACAACAGTAAAAAGAGTATTAAATAAAAATAGCACTTAGCTGAAAAGTAGTATCCGAGAGGGGAGCAAAAGAATTTAGGGCTCCTGTAAGTCATGTAAGTTTGCCGGTCACAGTCAACCGTATGATTATATTGAGGGAGTCAGAACATTTCAGAACAGAAACTCTAGAAATTGAATGGTCAGAAAGTATTTTCTACTTCTATGTAGACCTTTTGGAAATTGTAAAAAACTTTCCCAATAAAGGGCGGTTGGGGAAAGGAGTGCAGCATGTGTCACCTAGTTAATTGGTGATGTCAGTAACAAAAAGCAAAGGGGGGTGGGACAAGTAATGCTCACTACGACTCCACATCAAGCAGGATTAGCTAAAACTAGGTTAACACACAGGCTATAACACACAGTGTGTAGTAAGCCTAATCAAGCCTTTGTTTTACATGCCTTGCATTTATACCTGTGTGTCGGCAAGTAGGCCACTTCACAAGGTCATCTGCATAGAGTGCCATCTCCGCCCTTAGCTCATCTGATAGGTCATTAATAAACTTTAGGAATAGCGTACAACTCAGTGACGAGCATTGTGGAAGACCCTCTTCCAGGACACACTTTGTTGAGCTGGCCCCTTCTTCTAAAACACACTGAAGAGGTGGCCACTTCTTCCAGGACACACTTTGATGAGCTTGACCCTTCTTCCAGAACAAGAACACACTGAAGAGGTGGCCACTTCTTCCAGGACACACTTTGATGAAGTGGTCCCTTCTTCCAGGATACACTTTGATGAGGTAGCCACTTCTTCCAGAACACACTTTGAAGAGGTGACCACTTCTTCCAGGACACAGTTTGATGAGGTGGCCAATTCTTCCAGGACACACTTTGATGAGTTGGCGTTTTTTAGTTTTGTTTGGTTAATACAATCAGTAAGAAAGAACTTTAAACATTTGTACATCTTGCAATAAATCCTTGCATTGTTTAACTTCCAGAGTTAGCCTTTCTGCCATAATCCATTATAGGCCTGCTGGAGGTCAACAAAGTTTCCTGCAGTGGTTTTTTTTGTTGTGGATGCCAAGAAGGATACTTAGCCTCAGGCAGAAGAGTTGATCATCCTTACTGTCAAGTTCTGAAACCAGCTTGGTATTAAAATTTATTGAAAGAGACATTTGTTTCTAGTTCTAGTCACCAATAGAGGTAAAAGTTGATCATTCTTTCTGCAAGTTTTTCAATTCAGGAAGTCAGGGATATTGGTCTAAAGCTTTTGACATAATTTTCAGCCTTTCATTTTTAAAACAATGGTGGTATAATGGCATTTTCCAAGATTTTAAGGATTTCACTTTTGCCTCAAGAACTGTTTATGACATTGAGTATGGATTTTTCCACCATAGGGCCCAAATTCACAATCATGGGGTTATGGATTTTATCTGTGCCTTGGGCTTTTCAATTTATATCTCGGCCTGGTGCTTTTTGATACATTATAATATTTCATATTGGAAATTTTATGTGTTGTGTAAATCAAGGACAGGTTGGGTTCAAAAATTAATTGTTTTATATGACATAAATTATACATTTTGTACCCCAAAAATTGTGTGTCATGGTTTTCTCAACAGTTCTCTTAACCACATAAAGCATGTCACAACCATGTTATAATGCGGGGACTTTTTTAATAACATCTGAAATAAATTTTTATTATTTAAAAGTAATTTAAAATGGATTCTTATAGTTAATGATGACTTCAGATAAAAATGTGGTAGCTGTATAATCACTAATTAGATAACATACTTTGTTGAAAAATAATTATATATATATAACTAATTCTATTTTGTGTTCAAGTACCAGTATTTAATATAATTTGTCTGTGTGTTTCAATCGTCTTTTTTATGCTACAAATATGACATAGTTCATGGATTTAGTTAAATAATGCTTTTTGAAAAACTTTTTTGATTAAAAGTTATTCATTTCAGGGACGTTCCATGATGGCAGAGAGAGGAAGGATGCTCAGATTAGAAAACCTTCCACCAGATATTACTGCAGACAAGCTTAAGATCATATTGTCTAATACGAGACGTAAAGGTGGTGGTCCTGTCGACCATATAGATTTGAATAGTGAAGAGCACAGCGCAATAGTTACTTTTAGAGATTGTAAAGGTAATTAGATAAGTCTTAATATTGCTGAAATACTGCTAGTTGTAAGAAAAAATAATTCGTAAAATCTTTGAGCTTTAAAAATGAAATAATTTGTTAATCTAACGTGGACTTTTTGAGCTTCTAAATTATTTTATAATTACATTAATATAACTATCAATTAAAGCTCTAAATAGTCCTATGAAATACTGCCCTCTTTATGCTCTCGTGAAATGGTGAGCTCATGAAAATGAAAACATGATATACAATTGTGCTAAAGAAATACCAATACAAAAAAAATGACTTAAGATAAAGTAAATTTTTTTAATTTTTTTATTTGATTAAGTAAACACATGAATTATGCACAATAATGTTCAGAATGTGTTTCTTTAAGTCAATGCTTTCTTTAAACTTAAATAAAACAATAAAGAATTTGCATTTCTTAATGTTTTTATTTAATTTTTCCCTAGCTGTCAATATAATACTTAACAGAGGAAATTTTATTGAGATTCAAGAATTTGAAGCTAAGATTTTCTGTGTTGATGACATTTCCAAAAGTTTACAGAGAAGTGAGACTGTTCTTAAAAATAAAAAAACTCCTTCAGTGGCAATGAGTTTTACAGAAAAAAGCAATGGTAAAAATTTGAATAACCAAGAAAGTTATAACGCTGATTGTGGATCTTCAAACAGGAAAAATACATGTCAAAAATTACAACCTAGAAATGATAAGAGAGAAACTCATTCTTTGAGTGAATCAGAATCTTCTGAAAGTTCTGATGATATACATCCAACTAAAACAAGAAACACAAACAATATAAGAGTCCTTGGAGATCAAGATGGAAACAAGCCTTTAAACAGACAAAAATATGGATTTAAGAGTGATGAATATAGAAAGCAAAATATGATGAGAAAAGGGCATAGTGAGGAAGAAAGCAAGAAATTTGAAATAGATGAGAGAGCTGAATCATCAAGTGATTTTGAATCTTCTGAAAGCTCTGAGGATAATTTTATACCTAAAACAAAAGGCTCAGAAAAAATGAGTCTTACAGATAACTATGAAGACAAGTCTAAAAAACAGAAAGCGCATTCTCTTGAAAGTCAAGCCACAGAAAGACCAAACATAATATATAAAAAGCCTCATTCTAAAGACAGAAGCAAAATCATTGCTGCTGATAAGAAAAAACCTCAATATTCTTCCTCTAGTGATTTTGAATCCTCTGAGAGTTCAGAAAATGAGTTTGAAACTAAACCAAAAAACAAAGGAAGAAATAGTTTAACAGATCAAGAAGATGTTATATCTTCTAACAGAGGAAATGGTGATGGATCTAAAGGGGCATCATCTATTAAAGGCTCTTCTAAAGATGAAAGCAGTGGTTTTGTATCTGATAAGAAACCCATCCAATCTTGTAGTGAATCAGAATGCTTTTCTGAATCTTCAGTCAGTTCTCATGATGATGATTCTGATGATGACGATCTCAGTTTAGCAGAAAAAGCTGAGAAAACTGTGAAAATTAAAATAATAGATGCAAAGAAGCAAAAGGACTTTTATCTCCTTTATTTAGAAGATGACGCAATCAATGAAGGAGAATTTTATGAAAAAAGCATTTTGCTGGATGGCTTGAATAAACATGTTTTTGTTACTTTTAAAAATGCCAAAGGTGAGTGAACTTAAACAATTTTTGAAAAATTAAATAAGTTAAAATAAAATATGTCATTTTTATTTTCTATAATACTGTTATATTTAAGGTTAAAAAGTTGAGCTATAATCTACTTGCACCATTATCTTCATATATATTTATAACTAAACTTTTAATAATTTCTCTTTTGAATTAGATGCCAGGGCATTTCGCCGTACCAGGCATAATGAAGATAGCAATATTACTAAAGTTACCATTGCAAGTGAGAATGACTTCAACTGGTACAGCAATCTTGTTGCTGTCTTTGGATATAGCTTTGAATCCAAAAAAGATATAAATGCATTTAAAGATCAGATCTCCAATTGTCTTAAACGGGATGTCCAAGAAATTATACAGTATGATGAACCAAGGTCTTTGATTGTAAAATTCAACCCAAAACACTGTCACCAAGGTACTTTATAGACATTGTCAATTTGAGTAGTTAAGTTTTTAATCATCATTTTTGTCACTATGATTATAACATGCACAATGTCTATGTCAGATTACCAAGTTACATTTTCATCCTTAGAGGGAAAATCTTCAAAGCACATGTAAAGATAATGATCTTAATTGTGGAACTCAAAATAATTATTGAAGTTACATGTTACAAGTTACAAATGAGAATTTTCAGTTAAATCAAAACTTCCTCAATATAAATTTAAATTTGACAGGAAAAATAATTATACCAGGTAAATGTGATTTGTATATCATGTTATAGTAATATATTCTGCATAACAAAATAGTGATTGAATGAAATTAAAAATTATAAATTTAGATAATGAAATACATTTAATTTGCAAAGACTTTTATTTTATATATGTAACAACCTCTCTCTCTATTATAAATTATAATAAATATTGACTTGCAAATATTTAACAAATTGTGCCCCTTAAAAAGATATACTGCCTCCTTTCACTAGCTGTGTGCAGTTATTGCCTCATGGCCCCAAGGAGACTACATCATCTAAAAGATAGGCTTATGCTCATTAATTGGATAATGAGGAGCTCTTACAAATTATGCTTTTGCCAAACAGGGGATAATCTGAAGAGTTTTTAATGCCAACTTGTCAAAGTAACTGATCAAAACTGCCAACAAATATTTCACAATAATTTATAAAAATTTACTTTTCAGCAAAATATGGAGATTTGTTATGGAAATGTGCTGTGGAATTTTGTGACATTCACCTCATTACAGCACCAGTTGAGAAAAGCAACCAAATTTTGATATCTGGTCTCTCTAAAGGCACTGATAATAGCACTGTAGAGCGTTATTTGTCAAGCAAGAGACATGGTGGAAGCCGTGGACAGTTGAGTTCCCCTATTAAAAGAATCAATGATCACCAGGCTATAGCAACTCTTAAAAGTGTGGAAAGTAAGATAACGTTGATTAAATTATACAATTTTGAAATTTATATAAAATTATAATCTTTGTTTCTTGACCTTAACTTCAGTAAATGTAATTTTTGATGGTATCTGGTTAGTGACAGAGTATTTCAATAGTTTGGATAGTTATTATTGAGATATCAACGTAGCCCATTAATATGTTTGCTCAAAGGCTTGCATTGCTCTTTTTTATGTGCAATACTGACATCTACCTTATTATTCAAATCTTTTTTGTTTGAATAATTTTTTTTTTCTACTAACTATGGAAAAGTTAATACTTAATGGTTCATACAAGAGGCTTGCAATCTTTTTTTCAAAAAGACTACTTAAATCATTTAAAAGACAGCATAAATGAAAAGATATGTAAACGTTTACATTTTCAAACATGCATGGGCTCAATGAACCCATTTTACTGTCACATTTGCTGCAAGTTTTTACACTTTGCTTATAGGCCTATATATTTTAATGTTGATTTTTAATTGCCATCCAATGTAAAATAGTGTTTTTATTATCTTATTTATAAAAGTTAAAATCAATAATAAATAGATTTTGAATATTTTTTTAGTTAGTTGGCGTATATGGAAGTTTTCTAAACTGGCCAGTTTTTTATATGTGCTTTAAAAATGTTAATATCTTTTTTCTATCTTCAGCAATAGAGAGCATTTTGAATAAAAATAATCATGAACTTGAGGGGAAAAAACTGAAGATTGATTATTTTCATTACTGCCTTTCACCAGAAGTTTATGAAAAACATTTTGGCTTGGACAGAACAACTAAAAATTTGCCTAAGAAAACAAGAGCAGAATATAAACCCAAAGATATAAAGAAGCCTGAAGATAGAGAGATTGATGAAGCCACGGATCTTCAACAAAAAGGAGACAAATCCCCCAAAAAAAAGAAAAGCCATGAGGAAGAACAGAGCTCTAAAACATTACCGGCAACTATGAAAAAAAATGACTTACAGAAAGGAGAAGCTGAAAGAATGACTTTGAAAGAAGGAGAGAAGAAAATAGATGCAGGAAAAGAGAGAAAAAAGCCTAGAAAGGAAAATAAAGATACAATGGCACAAGTTTCAATGCCCCTGGAAGAGCGTGAAAAAGAAATTTTGCAAAGTATCAATTTTTTGGGGGACTTAAAGATTGAAACAGAGTTTCAACCTGGACTCTTAAATCTTAGGGGCACTGATGAAAATATTAAGGTTGCTAAAAACACAATTTTTAACAAATGCTACAAAGATATTAAAAAGCTCCAATTCACTGCTAAGAACATGGATACCACACACATAGAACTCCTACAGATCAGTGGTGTCCAAAGTTACATCAACAAAATGTTTAAGAAAAAGCATTATCCTGCCTTTTTAGAATGCAAAGATGACTTGTTAATTCTACACTACTTGAAAGAAGCCGATGAAACCAAACTAATTGAAGTTGTTAAGAAACAAATTGAAAGTAAAAAAATGTCATTAGGTGATCAGTTTTCTATATTCCAATCCTTAAAAGGTTGTGAATTTATTGCACAATTATGTGAGGATGAAAAAGAAAAAACAAGCACAATAGCAAGATTGGATCAAAGTAATAAGTCCATTCACATTGTGGCACTTCGTAAATATATATACCAAGCCCAAGTGATAATCGAAAGATTTATGGAGGAGAATCAGATTCATGAACACGAAGTTCCCATGCTGAGAGGAGAGATCGAATATATTGAAAGATTTATGTCAGATGCCTTCAATAGGACTATCAGTGACTTATTGGAACATGGGATATCTGTGGATTATAATGAGGATAAAATTGTGTTTCAAGGGACTGAAGATGGAACCAGAGAGGCAGAAATATACCTGTCTAAGTTAAGGCAAGTATTTTTGACTGCGGGTATTTTGCTATAAGTGATGTTTATGATTTTTGTTTTTTTCATGGTCCTAAATGTTGATAAAATTTAATGATTTAGCTTAAATGAAAAATAAGGCTGAGGATTCTTAATATGTGGGAGTAGGGGTTCAACTAAAACTAATTTTTTTTAAATTAAAAATATGGGATGCAATTTTAGCCTTTTGGTTAAGTTAATGCTTCCAGATTTATTGAATGATCTTTGCATTTCACAAATGTAAATAGATTATGAATAATAAAATAAATGGCTTTCTGTGTTTTTAAATATTTTTTCAGAGACAAGATTAAAGCTCAGACTTTCCAGCTGAACAATTTTGGAATTAAAG